CAAGAAATCAAACGAGCGGAAACCCAAGACAGGAAACAAAACCCGACACGCGCGCGGACGCCCGATGGTCCGACGCCGACCGCCGGGGCGGGCCCTCCTTTGAACCGCTCGCCGACGGCACGATGACCGACAGGCGCGCCGCCGCGGGGGGAGCCCTCCCGCGGCTTTTGATTTGTTGACGGGACAGGCGACGCGGCGCCTTGACCGATCTTCTCGCGTGGCCGTCGCTCCTCCTTTTTGGCGGCGCGGCAGAAGCCGGCTTCTTTTTGCACTTGCGCTTTTTTCTCCTTTCGACGCGCAAGCGCGTCGCGTCCAAAAGCGCACGTCTTACTCGTTTGCGTGAGGATGATTTGAAATGCGGCGGGCGGGACCGCAAATGTCCTCCGCTTCCGCAATAACGATCCGGCGCGTCAAAAGTACCGCTCGGGAGTCGAGCGTCGGTACCGCTTCGGGTTTGCCGTCAAACGTCCCGAGCGCCGATCGTCGCGCGCAAGACTTTTTCTTCCGGGAAGCGGGCGCTTGCCGCCGGGATCGCCGCCGACCCGGGCCAAGGTCGGCCAAGGTCGCGCGGCTCCCCGGCGCGAGCCGCCGTCCCAAATTCCTCGCTGCTTTGCGACCTTGTTTGGTGGCGCGCGGCGATAAGGCCCCTCGCCGGGCGGCCGTCTTTAGCGCCTTATCTCCTCCCTTAAGTGCGCTTATCGGGCCCCGCCCGCCGAGCCCGTTCCGTCCCGGTCCCCGTCAAAGGACACGTTGAGCGTCTCGCTTTTGTTTTGCGGCCTTCCTCCGACAGCTCGGGATCGCCGTCGCGTCCCAAAAGGAAGTGGCAAATGTGGGCGGGAGCTCCTCGTCGACTCCTCCCCGTGAGCCCGGCGCGCCGGCCGCTTCGGTCTCCGTCGGCTTCTCGTCGGCTTGACGTCTTCTCGGCGTCGTCGTCGTCGACTCCGCTCGTGTCTTTGTGAAAAGAGCGTTTGGACTTTTTCTTCCACACTTTCCGTCCACAATCCCGAAAGCGCAAGTGAGGCGGGGTGAGTTTTGAAACCGACCAAACGACGCAAAGATAACGTCGCATCCACACGGGAGAGGTGAGACGTCAATCACAAACTTTCCGTCTCTTTGAAACGCGCGTCTCTTCATCTTGATCGCTTGCTATTCGCTTCGATCTGTCAAGTACGTCTTGGAGAAAAACCCAAAAACCCCCAAGCATCTCCTCCCTGACGGGGTCCGGCCTTTGTCCGATATTTTCCCTGTCGCGGGAGTGCCACTTTGCCAGAATGGGACGAAATCTTGCGCTTTATCGGCGAAGACAAGCGTGCGCTTGGCAAACATCCCAGATAGCGCCGTCGTAACGTCGCCCGGTAGTTGCGAGCCCGTCCGGCTTTCTTCTTTTTTTTTCCGATCTCTCGGACATGAAGAGCGACCTTTTCGGTCTCGCCCGGCCGGCCCTTTTTTTGGGCGGCCGCCGCGTGGTTTTCATCTCGGGATGGAAGGAGTCCGTTTCTCTCTCTTTCTAACGCCGTCAGACAAGGCGCTTCGTCGTCGTTGCCCCTTTTGCGGCGGAGGACCGTCGCGCCCTCCCTCGCGTTTGACATATGACGACGTACGCTTTCACGAGAACGTCGAGATTAGCCATCATATCAACCCGATTCATAAAGTCTCAAGTGGAATCGCCATGAATTTTGAGTTCATGATGACGGTTGCGTTTTGAATTAGATTCAATATTTGAATCGTTTGACAGCTCTAA